TACAAGTTTCAATTCTATTTATCATTATGTTTGTAAACTTACCATTTAAAAGTGCCATAGTAATTGAGTGTTCATATAGCTGTACCATGATATTAGCATCGCTACTAAGTAAACCTCCAATTGTCCTCCACTATTCCACCCGCTAACCCGTCCCCCCCGTCCCCCCCGTCCCACGTTGGGTTGTCATCCCAGTGACCGGCAGACCACTTCTATCCCCCCGGATCCCAGGGTCCCCGAGAGACCGGGACCCATCCTTCGAAAAGAGCACACAGTGCCACCCACAGAACAGAAGCAGATCAACTACCAAAAGTATTTCCAACGCCCTCACCTCGATTTGTATTATATATAGTTATCAAAACATAAACTGTATATATAAAAAATCTTGCGTATCCTCATTTCCACAATTCACAAATAATATGCGTAATAATGTAGGCAGTTCATGCAAAGGATTGTTACCTATAACCAGTATTGCCATTACAAAGATTACATTTTTAGCAAGCAATTATTCTTTTAGAAAACATTTATTGTGATTCATCCTATATTGTCCCTAACATCATAACCCCATAGATACAATTGTTTCCTTATAGAGTTATCAAGGGTTGTCATTCTAATTTTATTTTTTATTCTGATTCCTTTATTTTTATTTCACCGGCAGTGTTGTTGTTTTTTGGACGCATGAATCACGGTGTGAGTCATGTGTCCAAAGGAGTAATGGTAAGTGCTCGTAATGGTAAGTGCTTGTAGAAAAGAATAGTACCCACCCAAATTTACCACCATCGCCGCACAACCCTGTACCCAATGTCTAATTTGTCAAGAACACAATGCAAGAAAGCAAGTACCAACCTCTTTGTCAAGCCTACCAGTCCCCTGGGGCCCTGCAAATGTATATTGTTCACATGCCTGCCTGTAGGGGGAAAAAAATATATGCTGGTAATGTTTGACAGTTACTCCAAATGGATTGAAGCCTTCCCCACATCAAATGAGGAAGCAAGGACTGTGGCTAAGTGCCTGTTACAAGACATTGTTCCACGATTTGGTGTCCCCCAAAGTTTAGATAGCGATAGGGGGACACATTTCACCTCGAAAATAATGAAAGAAATGTATGACATGATGCAAGTTAGGAGGAATATGCAAGTACCATTTCACCTGCAAAGTTCTGGACTTGTAGAACGCTATAATTGCGTTCTGAAAAATAAACTGGCAAAAATATGTGCTCAAACAGGACTTACCTGGGTGGATACGCTACCCATAGCCTGGTTTTCAATGCGTTCCACCCTAGTCTGGAATTCTGGCCTCAGTCCACATGAGGTACTGATGGCCCGTCCCATGAGGACCCCTGAATCACCACCAGCTGCAGTCCCAGATCTGCATCTGTTGGATGACACTATGATGAAGTACTGTATAGCTCTGACTAACTGTATTCAAGCTGTTCACTCACAGGTCTCTGCTGCCCAAACTCCCCCAGACGACCGTCCCCATCACGATCTCCAGCATGGAGATTGGGTAATGGTCAGGAGGCACGACAGAAGTAAATAACCTTTGAAACCCAGGTGGAAAGGACCACATCAGATCGCCCTCATCACCCCAATGGCGGTAAAGTGCTAAGGGAAAGACACCTGGATCCACGCCTCCCACTGTAAGCAAGTAGCAGTGCCAGAAGAAGATGTTACTCCTGTTACTCCTACAACCAAGTAGGGAAACTCTGTTTACCCTGGGACTCGCAGCCATTGTGGCTGTGGGCATCCTCTGGGTAGTAGCAGTCTCTGAGCGAGAAGCGGGTGAACGTGCTAGTAACCTCTCCCTGTCCTCTCTGCTCCAACGAGGCCCGGCTTCCACAGGGGGAAGGCCAGAAGTAGACGACCCCGCTGACCTGAACCTTGACCCTGATGACCCCGCCAACCTGAAGAGAAGAAAAAGAGGACATGAACATTCTGGGGTTTTCCCCGGGTCAAACACTTTCTAACAATTAACTAGTAATGTCTCTGTACTACAGAATGTATCAGATTGTTGGGTTTGTGGATGGTTACCAGACAGTAATGAGACTATGACATCAGTTGGGTTTGTGGATGGTTACCAGACAGTAATGAGACTATGACATCAGATTGTTGGGTTTGTGGATGGTTACCAGACAGTGCTGAGACTATGCCATTACTAGCGATACCCCTAGGTGCTTATGAAATATTGATGTGGACCAAAGCAGGCAGAGAGCTTGATTGGGTGGAGGATAGTGTGTTTTATATGAGAAGATTTGATTTGAATAATCCCACCTCTCTGCCCAAGCAACCCATCACCCTGGCCTACTCTCCCCCAGGTTATTTGTGTTATATAGCAAATGAAACCGGTCTCCAGTTGGGGGAAAGTCATTGTAAGTATAACCTTTCTGTCTACAATAACATAACCCTGCCCTTACTGTTGAGAAATGGAACATTCCACCCTAATATGTCATTGGCAATATGTTATAAATTTAAGGATGTCAGTGTGTATGCTAAACCTACTTCCTCAATAAATGGAACTATGTATGTGTGCGTGGGGAAAGCATACTATTATCTGCCTACGAATTGGTCAGGATCCTGCTATGCTGCCTACGTTGTTCCTGTTGAGCGTGCTACCCCAGTACCCCCAAATCACCCTTTCTCCCATTTGTATAGGAGAACCATTGTAGCTGGCCCCGCAAAACGGTTTTTCTCTGCATTACTTCCCAATGATGGCATGACAACGGAGCTTGATTCCATTCGAGAACTAGCCAATGAGTTAGAAAGAATGGGGAATGCTACTGCCACTGCTTTGGAAGCTTGTAGCTACACGTACCATGGTCTTACAAAATTGATTGGCTTTGGATATTTCAGAACTAAGAACAGATATAGCCCCTGGTTCTCCTCAGACTTGACTGCCCTTGACCAGCACAAAAACATCCTGTGGCGTACTGCATTAGCATCGAACAGCCCCCGCGATATGCAACTTTTTAGGGAAGTCAGGAACCAATATACACAATCAGTTAGGAAAGCAAAGGCTAGCTTTTTCAAACAGAAATTTGCAACCTGTAGCACTAACTCCAAAAGGTTTTGGGACACTGTAAAGTCCATGGAAAATAAGAGCACCTCCTCCCAACTGCCCACTGCACTGAGGCTAGGAAACATTTCAAAGAATTTCAACAAGTATTTTGCTACGGTTGGCCATGCTTTCCACCTGGCTACCACTACCCCGGCCACCAGCTCTGCACCCTCCGCTGCAACTTGCCGACTCTATTCTCTGTGTATATCAATGATGTTGCTCTTGCTGCTGGTGAAGCTCGGATCCACCTCTATGCGGACGACACCATTTTGTATACATCTGGCCCTTCATTGGACACTGTGTTAACAAACCTCCAAACGAGCTTCAACGCCATACAACACTCCTTCTGTATTCTCCATCTGCTCTTAAACACTAGTAAAACTAAATGCATGCTCTTCAACCGAACGCTGCTTGCACCCGCCCACCCGACTAGAATCACTACTCTCGGCGGGTCTGACCTAGAGTATGTGGACATCTACAAATACCTAGGTGTCTGGTTAGACTGTAAACTCTCCTTCCAGACTCACATTAAGCATCTCCAATCAAAAGTTAGATCTAGAAACGGCTTCCTATTTTGCAACAAAGCCTCCTTCACTCATGCTGCCAAACATGCCCTCGTAAAACTGACTATCCTACCGATCCTTGACTTCGGCGATGTCATTTACAAAATAGCCTCCAACACTCTACTCAGCAAATTGGATGTAGTCTATCACAGTGCCATCCGTTTTGTCACCAAAGCCCCATATACTACCCACCATTGTGACCTGTACGCTGTCGTTGGCTGGCCCTCACTACATATTCGTTGCCAAACCCACTGGCTCCAGGTCATCTATAAATCACTGCTAGGCAAATCCCCGTCTTACCTTAGCTCACTGGTCACCATAGCAACACCCACCCGTAGTCTGCGCTCCAGCAGGTATATGTCACTGGTCATCCCCAAAGCCAACACCTCCTTTGGCCGCCATTCCTTCCAGTTCTCTGCTGCCAATGACTGGAACGAACTGCAAAAATCTCTGAAGCTGGAGACTCTTATCTCCCTCATTAACTTTAAGCGTCAGTTGTCAGAGCAGCTTACCGATCACTGCACCTGTACACAGCCATTCTGAAATTAGCCCACCCAACTACCTCATCCCCATATTGTTATTTATTTTGCTAATTTGTACCCCAGTATCTCTATTTGCACATCATCTTTTGCACATCTATCATTCCAGTGTTAATACAAAATTGTAACTATTTTGCACTATGGCCTATTTATTGCCTTACCTCCATAACTTACTACATTCGCACACACTGTATATATCTTTTCTGTTTGTATTTTTGACTTTATGTTTTGTTTACCCCATATGTAACTCTGTGTTGATGTTTTTATCGCACTGCTTTGCTTTATCTTGGCCAGATCACAGTTGTAAATGAGAACTTGTTCTCAACTGGCTTACCTGGTTAAATAAAGGTGAAGAGGGGGGGACAGAGTGTTGTATTTACATCCCAGATTCCTCCATTGGGGTTGCTAAGTCTGTGGCCACTATCAGACAGGTGGTAGCTACTGTAAACAAGCGAGATAACGAGTGGGGTTGGGATCTGTTTACATGGGTGAAAACTAGCCTGGGGAACATTAGAACTCTCGTGTTGCAAGGTCTCCTAGGCCTGGTTGGAGTCCTTGTGCTATCATTCTGCCTGTTCTCATGCCTGACGACCTTGGTGAGGAGATTGTGTGAAACAGCAGTCTCTCCTCCCCACCAGATGGTCATGACCACCGAAGTCAACTTGAATGACCTGATGGATCTCGCCACTGTTTCACCCTTTATTGGGGATCCTTATTGCCGTATTGGAGACGATAGTGCCTACTGCCATGGAAATGACCCCGATCCCTATGAACCCCCTTTTCCCTGGATTGTTATTATTAAATTACATTTTCGGAGTTTCATTCAGACCACCCCTTTCTGTGTAAAATGCAAATTTCCCAGCAACCAGAAGGTTTTCAATTCTGTCTGACAACAGCTCAGATACTCTATGTCATGTATGATGATGACTATGTTTTCCATGGCATTGTGGAGGCAGAATTTGGGGTGAGCTGTTGTAACTTCTCAAGGGATATGTTCTGTGTTGGACTGTGATGTTATGCCTTTCATAGACTCCTGGTATGCCTGCACCCTAACACAAGGCCATTGTGTTCCGGAACTGTTGCTTCTATTAAAATAACTGTTGTGTAAGCAATATGATTGTATTATTAACTCCCACTATATAAGGGACATGTAACCATTTATTCTTGGAGTTCTTCCCTGTGAAATCAGAGGTGGATCTCACCTGCAGCTGCTTGTATTAAATAAACGTGTATAATAAGTTTCTATTATATCATTAAATAGTCTTTGCATTAATCTTTTAATCGAATTTACCACAACAATACCATTAAATCTAGCGGTCAAACAGGGAAATGGTTCCAATAATTTTTCCACCATTACTTTTTCCCATAGGGAATTGGTATTTTCTTTGTTAAAGTTGGAATCCGCAGTAGAGGGAAACCGCACCACTGGCCGCCCCACCATCATTGTTATTGTCTTGTTGCCGAGCGGAGGAGCATCCCGCAGCATGGTAAAACAAAAACCTGCACATATTGACAGAGTGGAAAAAAACTGTGTTCGTTGTGTCCACGTCGTCGTATTGAATAGACCAAGGCGCAGCGGTGATGAAAGAACATGGTAACCTTATTATCTTTAGTGATATAGAAACCAACAATAAACCCCAAAACAAGAAACGACTCGTGAGTCCACGGTAACATGACCAACACGGAACCAAGAACCCACAAGGGGAACAACAGACAGTTTAAATAGGCTCCCAATCAGAGACAAACCCAACGGACAGCTGACACTCGTTGCCTCTGATTGGGAGTCCACTCTAGCCAACATAGAAATAAACACCAACAGAATGAAACACACCCTTGGCTCAAACTATAGAGTCCCAGAGCCAGGTGTGTGACAGTACCCCCCCCCTAAAGGCGCGGACTGCGACCGCGCCTCAACTTGAACAAAACAGGGGAGGGCTGGGTGGGCATTCCTCCTCGGCGGCGGTTCTGGCTCCGGCCTTGCCCACCACCCTCCAATAAACCCCCCATAGCGCCCCTGGTCCAGTCTGGCCCCGCTGGCTGGAGCTGAACTGGACGTAGCAGGAGCGGTTAGCTTCAGCTCCGTAGTGGAGCAGTTGACCGGTACCTTACCAGGCACCGGTGACCCAGGCACGGGTTGTGCTGGACTGACGACGCGCACCCCTGGCTTGGTGCGTGGAGGAGGAACAGGCCGGGCCGGGCTGGCGACGCGCACCGTAGGCTTGGTGCGTGGAGCAGCAACGGGCCTTACCAGGCTGACGACGCACACCGTAGGCTTGGTGCGTAGAGCAGGGACAGGCCGGGCTGGGCTGGCGACGCACCCCGTAGGCTTGGTGCGTGGAGCAGGGACAGGCCGGGCTGGGCTGGCGACGCACACCGTAGGCTTGGTGCGTGGAGCAGGGACAGGCCGGACTGGGCTGGCGACGCACACCATAGGCTTGGTGCGTGGAGCAGGGACAGGCCGGACTGGGCTGGCGACGCACACCGTAGGCTTGGTGCGTAGAGCAGGGACAGGCCGGACCGGGCTGGCGACGCACATCGTAGGCTTGGTGCGTGGAGCAGGGACAGGCCGAACTGGGCTGGCGACGCACACCGTACACTTGGTGCGTGGAGCAGGGACAGGCCGGACTGGGCTGGCGACGCATACCGTAGGCTTGGTGCGTGGAGCAGGGACAGGCCGGACCGGGCTGGCGACGCACACCGTAGGCTTGGTGCGTGGAGCAGGGACAGGCCGGACTGGGCTGGCGACGCACACCGTAGGCTTGGTGCGTAGAGCAGGGACAGGCCGGACTGGGCTGGCGACGCACACCGTAGGCTTGGTGCGTGGAGCAGGGACAGGCCGGACTGGGCTGGCGACGCACACCGTAGGCTTGGTGCGTGGAGCAGGGACAGGCCGGATTGGGCTGGCGACGAACACCGTAGGCTTGGTGCGTGGAGCAGGGACAGGCCGGACTGGGCTGGCGACGCACACCGTAGGCTTGGTGCGTAGAGCAGGGACAGGCCGGACTGGGCTGGCGACGCACACCGTAGGCTTGGTGCGTAGAGCAGGGACAGGCCGGACTGGGCTGGCGATGCACACCGTAGGCTTGGTGCGTGGAGCAGGGACAGGCCGAACCGGGCTGTGGAGACGGATAGGAGACCTGGAGTGAAGAGCGGCCACAACCCGTCCTGGCTGAATGCCTACCTTCACACACTCTGTGTGAGGCATCCGCACAGGACGTACAGGGCTGTGTACCCGTACTGGCATAACAGCACGTGACACTGGAGCAGGATATCCCGGACCGCGGAGAGGCATTGGAGACCACGAGCGTTGAGCCGGCACACTCCGTCCTGGCTGCATACCCACCTTCGCACGACACGTGCGGGGTGCTCGCACAGGACGTACAGGACTATGCCAGACCACTCGTGGCACAGTACGCCGCTCCGCATACCGCGGAACCTGCCCCGTCCCATGCTGCCATGCCTGAGTACGGGAAGTTGGTTCCGCTCTCCATCCAGGCTCCGCCAACCTGCCTTCTGGCCCCCCTAACCCGGTGGCCTCCTCTCCAAATCGCCCTGTGGCAGCCTCCTGCTGCCCAGCCGCCCATGCCGTGTGCCCCCCCCCTAAAAAATTTCTGGGGTTGCCTCTCGCCTGTCCGACGTTGACACTGCTGACGCCGCTGCTCCTCTCTCGCCAGGGCCTTAATCCTAGCCCATGGCCCTTTTCCCCCGAGCATGTCCTCCCAGGACCACACTTTGCCCACCTGGGCCATCGCCAACCTCTCCATCTCCTTTCCCGGCGCTTCCTCCCATGTCCAGTCCAAGATCTGCCCCTGGACACGCTGCTTGGTCCTTGTTTGGTGGGTTCTTCTGTCACGATCGTCGTACTGAATAGACCAAGGCGCAGCGTGATGAACGAACATGGTTAACTTTATTATCTTTAGTGATAATAGAAACAACAATAAACAAAACAAGAAACGACTCGTGAAGTCCACGGTAACAATGATCAACACGGAACAAGAACCCACAAACACAAAGGGAAAACAGACAGTTTAAATATGGCTCCCAATCAGAGACAACCAACGACAGCTGACACTCGTTGCCTCTGATTGGGAGTCACTCTAGCCAACATAGAAATAAACACAACAGAATGAACACACCCTGGCTCAACATATAGAGTCCCAGAGCCAGGGTGTGACAGTTGTTTGCAGTAACTTTTTGTTGTTGTTGTAATATTGCAAACGGATGTGGCTGTTTCACCATTAAGGATTCCAGCTTTAATGTTGGAATTATTGAAGTATCCATGAACAATTATGTTTGTTGAAAAGTGGAAAGGGAGAGCTATATTTCAAACTAATTTCTGAGTTCCTAGGTCAAGCCATGTGGTAACTAGCATCTTAATTAACATTGGGCGGGGGAGATTGTGGATTGTTGTCACATGGAATGTTGGGATGGTTGTCACTATCAATTCCATTATAATAAATCACAGTTTACCCACCTTTTTTTGCCTGACAGTTTACCCACCCTTTGCAGAAAAATGCATTGAAGGTATAAGAAGCGTTACTTTTTTCATTGTGAGTTTACCCACCTATTTTTTACCACTACATCCCAGATTAAATCCCAATATATTTTGTGCTTGTGCTACTCTTCGTTGCCTGTCTCTCACACACATATTTTTTATGTCACACACCCACACACGCACACATGTGCAAATACATGCATACACACACAAATTTACTCAAAATGTAATATTATATCCTCACTGCATAAAATGCTGAATTTTGTTAGGAATATCGTTCGATCAAAGAAAGTATATTTCTAAGACTGTGTGCTGTATTACTTCATTTCCTGTTTCAAAGGGAATAGTTACTAGCAAACATTGTGACAACCAACCCCATACTGTGTGACATTCAACCCCGCAATCGGGCTGGTTGTCACAAGTGGACAGGGTATGTTTGATGGCTTATAACTCCATGTTGGGATAAAAGTGTAACAACCAACCGGGGTCTCCCCTCCCATTCAGTAGGCTTGTTGAAAATGTCTCCACCTGTCCTAGAAAAGTCTAGGCCACCATCAAATAAGTGAAAGTTTGAAGGCATAGTTTGATGGACCAGTTGCATTAAATTATGCCTCCCATCAGAACACGCTCACCAGATACCTCATAGGAGCATCATTCCTCAGAATATTTTTTTGTGAAATAGTCAATGTTATTTTTTAAATGTCTGGTTGATGGTCATGTGGGCAGGTACGTTTTCAACGTAAATATTTACTGCTGTAGGTTCCCATGCACCTTGCTGACTAAACTCAACTCCACGATGTACTTACAGTACTTCATACATTACATAAATATTTACTGTATTTACAATATTTACTGTTGTAGATTCCCATGTACCTTGTTGACTAAACTCAACTCCACGATGTACTTCCGTTGATGTGAAGTACATCGTGGAATTGAGTTTAATCAGCACTCAGCAACCATGCACCCGGCCCGATTTATAGATTTTATTTAACCTTTATTTTATCAGGGAGTCATACAGTATAGATATTCCGTAGCCTCTTCGATGTGGGAGACCTGGAGCCTAGAGACGACATGTAGCCTACATATTAGATTATGTCTTACATTTGATGTGTGAAGTTTTATTGTATACACACCCACTGGGTGCATCATGCACGTAAATGTAATTTGATTTGAAATGTGAATTTGGGTATGTGTGCACTTCTATTCTGTTTGACCTGACGAAGATCCAGCTAGGTGGAAATGTTGTTATTTTCAAATTAATTGATACCGAGAGGTGATTAACTTGGACATAATATCTCTCACTCAATTAATTTCTGTACTGACTGGAGTTGTTGGGCCCATAGATTATGACTTGCAATTGAAAGTAAAATTAATTCACTGCCATCTACTTTGACGGCTTTTTGATGTTGGGCCTAATGTATAGGAATAGACGTAATCTCTCTTGGACAGATTCCCGTGTAAACGACGAAGTGACCATTTTCGCGACAATTTTACTTCTGGGTAACGGAGATTAGCCTAGACTTGATCCCTGAGATAATATGGCAACACAGATCAATTCAATTTCAATGGTTAAGGAATGGAACCGTGCGCCGGACCGTGCGTGCGTAATAATCACCTGTCACATTAAGAACATCTTGATTCTCTGTGGAAGGACAGATTTTGACAGTTTTTTGCCACCAGAGTCACACTTTCCAAACTGTCCTTTTTCTGTCTCTGGTGTGAGAGGGGATCCCGAAAGGCAACGATGACGCATATATTGCCTATGGATGGAGGTGGATGCAGCTCGGGCAACACCATTGGAAAAATCTTCGGAAACCCTCTATTTCCTAGGGGTGTGACGTCTGGGTTTCAGCCCGTGTAAGTAAGAAGACATATAAATACATAACTCTGTGATTAACCGTTATTTACGTAATGTTACTAAATACACATTCCCGGTCTTGCTGTTCATAGATCAGTGTTGAAGGCTCCCGTCAAGGCATTCCGAGGCCATGTGTTCCTGGAGAGAATGGTGAGAGACATGTTGTAGAATTATCCTCCCCAGTACTGATAGTTCGACATTTTTCTTTTACTTCTAGCAGGGTAGTTGAAGGACTAGGATAGAACAACGTTTATTGCTGTGTCAAATTGAGGTGGTTAGAGATACATCGTAAATGTCCTAATCCTGACAGCCAACCAATGATTTATAGTAATCAGTCTTTACCCACGTTCCATTGGAGAGCTGCATGAGCTGGTGCATGAAGGGACTATAGGGATAAGATTAGCATGAATGTGTACCTAACATTTCTATCTTAACCATATGGTCATGGGTATTTTTTCTATCTTATCTTATTATTTTGACTGGTTATTATTTGTGTCCAGCTGTCTGCCTCGTCACATGGCCGTCAACGGAGACAAGCAGGCCACACCAACCGCTGGCAGCTGCACCACCCCCTTGGCAGTGACCTGCAGGGGCAAGCACAAGTTGAGAGAACCATGAGAGTGGGCATCAACACATCACTCAGGACCATAAGGACAGGTGTGTGTGTGTGTGTGTGTGTGTGTGTGTGTGTGTGTGTGTGTGTGTGTGTGTGTGTGTGACACCTATGTGTTACAGTTTGACAGAAGTGTTTACATTTATTATCCTAAGATAAAGGTCTTGAAGGGTACAGTATGAAGATTAGTTGAGGTTGGCAGAGGGCCTTGGTTCTTCAAGGAGGTACTCCTCCTATGTTACCACAGAGCTCTAAGCCAGCCAAAATCTGTACGTGGCATGCTGTGTCCACAGTGCCAAAGTCAGCGTGACCCAGCCAAGAGCCCTGCCTACCAGGAGGGGTGCTAGACCCGATTGGTGCCAACCACGCCAACCTGGTGTTGAGAAACTGGCAAAGTTGTGGGGAGATTGGCACCTGGAGAGATCTGACAGCAGCCGGTTTCCAACTAGACTGGCAGTGCCATCCCAGAGACAATTAGGCCTTTGACATCTTCCAGATACGCTGTGTGCATCTGTGAGAGCAGAGGAGAGTCACTGGGGAAAACAATCGCAGAGAAACTAAACTATTAGGAATACTTTGTAAAGGTTAAGTTGAACATGAGAGGTTTTTATTCAGCACTGATCATTTGGGGGGCTTTTACAGTATCACAACAATTTCAATGCAAATCCATCATTGCACCTCCAAACTTAACATGAAAGTCTGCTATTGTTAGTGTCACAGAGTCGCACGTGTCTACTGTTGAGTCCAAAACCTCCTTGTGTATTACCCCTCTCCACACCCCACCCCTCCCTCTCTGTTTGTTTTCCAGCTGACTCTCCACAGCCCTGCACTCATGATGAGCCCCCCCTGCCACGGCTTACCCTCCTAGCGAGCACCAGCCTGCCCAGAAGCCCCAGACACTGGTACGCTGCCAGGCCCACAAGGGCACACACTGACAACCATAGAGAAGGAGAGACAGAGGGAGGACAGTTGATCAGACATTTGGGGCCTGCTGCCAGCCGCATGCAACCAGTATGGAGCAGGCTGCATGCCACATTGGAACATGATTATCTTTAATTTGGTCTGCTTTTGTGCGGAGCACAATGGCCACCATAAAGGGGGCAAACCCACCTGTAGAGTTGGTGAGATGGTCACGCTGGGAGCATTTGGGCTGGACGGGAGGGGTGACTTCTGATGGGGACAACATGGTTGTGTTTTGAAGGGCTCACCTTGTGTTTGTTCGCTTTTTCAAGTGGCAGACAAGAGTGTGATGATTTTACATTTAATAAGTCTTTACCGTTTAGAGTTTTCAATTTGTGTGCTTATGATGATGTGTTTTTGTGTGTATTTGTTATGTAGTGTGCCAGGTTATCCCAGCAAGGCTACTCCAGAGGATCTGTTCTACCTCCTGTCCCGCAGTGTTGTCCATTACAACCAACCAGGTTTTTCTTCTTCGTCCGTCTGTCCGTCTGTTCCTCTCTTTCTGTCTCTCTTCCCCCCCCCTCTCTCTCTCCCGCTTTCTCTCAGTCTCTCCCGCTTTCTCTCTCTCACTTTGTCTCTCTCTCCCTTTCCTTCTTCCTCTCTATCCTGCTCTCTCTCTGTCTCTTTCTCTCTCTCTCTCTCTCTCTCTCTCTCTCTCTCTCTCTCTCTCTCTCTCTCTCTCTCTCTCTCTCTCTCTCTCTCTCTCTCTCTCAATTTTCAATTCAATTTGCTTTATTGGCATGACGAAACAATGTACATATTGCCAAAGCTTACTTTGGAGATTTACAATATTAACATAATTAAAAGAATAGTCATCAATATTGTCAACGGGACAACAGTAACAACAATAATCAAGGGTCAAAATAACCATACATTGAACAATAACAATATCAATAAGCATAGAGGACATGCGCAGGTTGGTTGGTCTGTCAGACACTGCCCCTCATCTTATGGCAGGCAGCAATGTAGTGCGCTGCCAACCCACAGCTCTCTGCGTCCACCCCAACAGGACGGGTAGCCTAGAGAGGTCTTTGAAACCTTGAATAAGGGTTTCAAATTTGGGGAAATGACACTAATTGTTTTATATTTTTTACATTTTGTCAGGAAATGCAGCTCTGTCTCTCTCTCTTTCTCTCTCTCTCTCTATTACTCTCTCTCTCTCCCTCTTTCTCTCTCTCTCTCGCTCTCTCCCTCTTTCTCTCTCGCTCTCTCTCTCCCCTCTTTCTATTTCTCTCTCTCCCCTCTTTCTCTCTCTCTCGCTCTCTCTCCCTCTTTCCCTCTCTCTCTCCTTATTTCTCTCTCCATGAATGTTGTTTCCATTTATTTTCTCAACTCTTGCCCTTTTTAAAGAGGTGAAATATGTTATGTACCCTTTTAAAAGTAAAGCAACAAAATGCTTGGAGGGTGCTGTCTCACTGAAAGGTTGACGACCCCCAGTTGAAAAATGTGCCAAGAAAGGTCATGATACCGTAGCAGTGGGAGCAGTCAACAAACGTGACGTCAACAACAACACCAACAACAACTTGCCTGGCTCAGTGTCTTGTCTGTTTGTTGTCAATGTGTTGTCAGACGTGGTGTTGGAGTGCCTGGGAAGCCAGTGGGAGCTGCACTGCGCTAATCTCACCAAATCAGGCACCCTGAGCGACCTCTACATGTCAACCAGACAGCAGAGGGCAACGGGCCTTCAGGACAGAGCAGGTGCACCGCTTAAATGTGTCTCCCAGGGGCCAGAGTTGATCTGAGTACAGTATCTCTGCATCTCTTACTGACTTTGCCATACTTTTTAGCGTTATCTGTGCTGAGTGTTGGAGATAAGAGTATTACAGCCCTAATGTCTCTGCATCCTCTCTCTGGTCCTATCTGTTGTGGGAGACAGACTTCCCAGCTAGCACATTTGGCTCCTTGGAAGTTGTGGGAACGTACACGGATCCCCTACCAGATTAAACCCACCCCAACCCCCCCATTCTCCAACAGAGCCCCACCCCAATACCAGACTTAAAGCAGGCAGGATATAGAATTTTAGTAATTTGATCAAATAACAAAAAAAGTGAAGATATAATCAAACAAAAAGTAAAGAACAGTAAAAATAGTGATACAAATTCTAATTTGGGTATGTTTATGGAGTTGTGGGTCCATGTCTTCCATGTCTAACTGGGTCCATGTCTTCTACAAAGGATAGGAAAGGTTGCCAGATATTATAAAATGTAATTGCAGATCCCCTAACGGACTAGCACATTTTCTCTAGCTTGAGATGTTGCATAACTTCCTTTATCCAATGGTTAAAAGTAGGAGGAAACTGATCCTTCCACTTAAATAGTATAAGACGTCTAGCTAGAAGAGTAGTAAATGCCAGCATGTTGCCCATAGAGCTGTTTAGAGGGGCCTCCTGTGGTGCCACTCCCAATAATGCAATAAAGGTTTTATAGGTCTCACCAGTATATTAGAAAACTTCTCAAAAATGGATATCCAGATATCTGTCACTTTCGGGCATGTCCAAACCATGTGCACTAAAGTAGCAGGAGCCTGCTTACGTCGGTCATAAGTGGGATCTATTTCTGGTCTTATCTTGGATAATTTTGCCTTTGACCAATGCAGCCGATGAACTATTTTTGATCTCTCTTAGACAAAACAGATGAAGAATGTATTCTCTGAAGCATATTCTGCCAAAATTCATCTGAAAGTTGCTCACCTAAATCATCTTCCCATTGGTTCTTAAGAGAGCATCAAATAATTTGTTAAATATATATTTTTTATATTTACAGGGGTCCTAAAATTCCAAATCAAATAGCTAAATGATCGTTGGTATGACCTTCTTAAAACAATTCCATATGTTAGCTTGGAGCCCCGGATGGGCCCCGGGCCCTTAGATCTTATAGAAACATGAAGAAACTTGTAGGAAATGTTAGAAGCGTTGTTTTTTAATGTTCTCTGAACTATTTGAGAAAATTCCTAATGTCAAATCAGTTGGCGAACATTCCTAGAACATTACCAAAATTGAAATTAAATGTCACCATGTTTGAACATTTAGGAAGCGTTCTGTTAAGTAATGAAATACCAAGAAAAGAACTTGTTTTTTGTCAAGTTCCTTAAATGTGCTGAGAATGTTCCAAAGCCAAGCAACTGTCCTGCACCATTCCCATAGCATTGTGAGAAGGTTGTACGCAAAATAACCATAGGACAACCACGCTCTCACCAAGTTCTAAGAAACATATGGTTCTCAGAACTAAATGTGCTAGCTGTGTTAGTGCCAAATGCTTGTCCTATGAGGACATTTTTTGGAAACTTGTGAGGAATGAGCACCTCTATGTAATGTTTTATAGAGACAATCCGGAATTCAGACAACTTCATCAGTCCCTTCTGTAAAGACATACCGTATGTGATTAGATTATTGGGCTTGTTCTCCCCCAGCATATTGGTCTCATTTTTCTCATTCAGGAAATAAAACCAATAAATTGGACCTTTCAAGTGTTGTGTAGTTGATGTTTTCTTGATGTTTTTCTTTTTTTCACTTATTATTGCAATATTTGCATCTTAGGTGTATCTTTAAGTGTGTGTTTGTGTACAGTTGTGTAAATATCTGTCATCTGATTACTTCAGACATACAGTAGTTGTAACCTGTCTCTTCTTGCATGGACCAGGCAGTGGTAAGAGTGGGAGAGACAAGTCACGCAGCCGACCAGGTAGCAGCAACTCCAGCAGAGACAAACAGAATGGGAAGAAACCCACAGGCCCCCTGGTCCTCCAACTCTCTGTGAAAGACGCCACCATCACCAAAGAGGGTAGCTACAAGAATCATACACTCATAACATACATCCAAGACAAATTTCCCCTCGGGGACAATAAAGTAAATCCTAACTCCCATTCGGTTCAATCACAGTTCATGTACCCATATCGCTCATACAGTATACTGACGGCTGATGAATGAAATTTCCCCCAGCCCTCTCCTTTGCCCTCAGGACCCTCTATAACCCAGAGGCATGTCCTGAACACTGGGGAGAGGGGGTGCTCTCTACCGCTGCCCTGCTGGGCCTGCCACACCTTTTCCAGAGGTGAGCCAGACTACCACACCACACTACTAGTCCTGGGGAACCCATAGGAGTGCATATTTGTAGCACTAATACACCTGATTGAACTAATCAAGTGCTTGATGAGTAGTTGAATCTGACATGCTAGTGCTGGGTTAGAACAAATATGTGCACCCCTGTGGGTCACCAAGTTCCATGTTTGAACGTCACTACGCCTCACTGTCAAGCAACACCGCTGGGAGGAACACCGTGCTGTAAAACAATGCTGTGGCGTGCAAAAACAGGCCATCACTCAGCCAAAACCGATTAATCCTGTTTTCAACAAAAACAAGGTCAAGGAGGAACAGGAATGAACTTTTCCCTGCTTGTAGACATGTATGTCACGTTGGATAACTTATGATACTATGATGACTCCAGAATACACACCCATCTGTTGTGGGACCTAAGTTGGCCCAGTTGAAGTGGTTGATTCATGTCCATGAGAGGGTGGGGATGGGTTTGAATGAGATGAATCCATGTCAACATTGGCTGTATTTCCTCAGTGTACTGTAAGCATGAAATCATCAACGCGCTTACAAGTGTCCCACCCAGTCACTTAGTCACCCTGGCGGCCCACATAAAAAAATCACTACAGTTTACTATAGAATACTACAGTACTTACTATAGAATTCTGTAGCAAACTGTAGTATATTGTAGAATACTATACTACACACTGTAATATCCCTTGATCATGTGTAGTATTTACTATTGAATGTTGTAGTATACTGTAGAATACTATAGTAAATACTACAGTATTATCCACACAAAAAACACAGAAATGTCAGTAAAAACACTACAGTCCACAAAAACACTGTTTTTTTTGCTATAGTAAATACTACAGTATTTAACTTGCATATACCCATTCCCCTCCCCCATATCCCAATTTGTGCCACCCGTGAGTGAGAAACCTACATGCCAAGTATAGACCATATAGTGTTTCTTATAGCAAACTGTAAACACTACAGTAAAGTCCACAGTAAAGTCCACAAAAACACTACAGTATTCCTACCATAGTATACACTATAGTATTGTTTCGTGTGTGTATCGTAAATAAAGCAAAAGTTTATTATGAGGTGACAGACAATAAGTGTGTGATTGACAGGTGCCTAACAGAGATGATAAATAAGATCAGCTCCTCCACTGTTTGTATCTTTCATCGCATGTCCTGCAAGGTAAGCTGGGGTAGATCGTACTAGCTTGTGGTGTGGAGTGGTTCTAAAAGTTACTGCTCGGAAATATACACTAGGGGGAGTCAAATCTCCTCAAACACATAAATGCACTGCTGTCTGAATATGTCCATCCACGTTTGTCTATGTTGTTGTCTGTATGTGACGTTTTGCATGATGGTATATGTTTTTGTGTGTGTGTGTGTGTGTGTGTGTGTGTGTGTGTTTGCCTATTTTTCCGTGTGGTTCAGTTTAAGGAAACCAGTCTTCAGAGAGCGTGTGAGCGATGGCTGGAGCTTTACCTGGTGACTGAGTTGACATGTTTCATCTACCTAAGAGACTTGCCCTTTGAACTCCTCCACAAGACCCTAAACTCACCCAGGTAGCTGCTAGAATAAGGTCAAACTTAAACAACACCCTATTCTAGTCATAACTCACATTGTTGGTTTTCTATGGCCTCCAGGGTCTTTGCTGACTGTGAGTACCAGCTCCTGAAGACAGTGCTGTACTGGGTGTTCCTACAGTTCAACCCTGCAGCTCAGATCCTTCCCTCCCATAGGATCATTATGACCTTCTTCTCCAGGTACAGGTCACACAGGGCTCAAGGTGGTAGTCATCAGGCGTAAGTTTAATTGTATTTCTGTTTAAGTGGAGGGAATTCGTAGACTCCTGTCCGTGAGTAGCATGTTTGTTCTGTTTGTTTGAACATTGATTCTGGTAGACATGTAACTACAAGCCCCACAAGATTATCTCTAGTTATTTCTCTCTCTCTCTCTCTCTCTCTCTCTCTCTCTCTCTCTCTCTCTCTCTCTCTCTCTCTCTCTCTCTCTCTTCTCTCTTCTCTTTCTCTTTCTTCTCTCTCCTCTTCTCTCTCTCTCATCCTCTCTCTAACGCTCGTTCCTCTCTTCCGGCCTTCCTACTCTCCTATTCCTCAGCTCATCCTCCTCTCTTGATGCATACTAAAATCTTCTTCCTCGTTGGCGAGGGTGGTCTTCTTGACGCCTGTGGACGTTCACCTTCTATTCCGGGCCCTTCGCTTACATGGCGTCACTCAACGTGAGTGGCAACGCCAAGGCCATCGACTTTTCAAACCTCGATGACATAACACTAAAACAGTCTGTTTTTCTCTTGTTATGTTTATTTGTTACGTTTATTTGTTAAGTTTGAGTATTAATTCATGTTCACAAGGCCTTTCATAGTGCAATCTGTTCATCATTACTATGTCGCAATGGTGGAAGGAGAAGGACTCTAAACTAAAGCCAGACCTATTGGCCGCGGCCTCAGTATGTGACTACATCACTCTGGCGCCCGTGTCCGAACCATCATGCAGCTGGAGACACATAAAATGTGTTGCTGCGGGTGCCTGCGGACCAGCGGTCCATAGTAGAGAAGCCCGTTTTAAAACCAGATTGATATTAAAAAACCACGCAACGTGACTCTTAACCTCTCAGTATGATTCTGATAAGCAGATCTGTGAAAACCATACACAGTACACACACTGGGCCAAGCCTAAGTGGGCACACTCTGTGGTAGAGAAATCAGAATTAGCTAAGTAACATAGATAATTAAGATGTCTTATCTGCAGAATATGCTTATATGATTGAACTGTCGAACTCTTGATATTAGAATGTCTCCTTTCGGACTCTGGTGTTGGCAGCTGCACTTCCTCCCTGATATGGGCCTCAGTCACCTGGGGCCCAGAGAGGGGAGAAGTCAGGCTTGTCTATCACATGTCCCTGTTGCTATGCAGAATATCAGAAAGAGATTAAGGCAAAGGAGGTCAGAAGGAAACATTGTTTCCATATGTGAGAATACGTGTTTTTACCTATTGCGGACCATGTGAAGGGATGGCGTGAGTAATGGGAACCAATCAAATGTCTCCATAATGTCTGTGTGTCATTCACCCCCTCCTTTGGCCTCTCTCCTGTTTAGTGGCTGGAACCATTGTACGTCATCTCTGATGTTGCACCTATCCTGAGATGGTATATAACCCAGAGGCTCACTCCACTCAGTGGGCTCTCACTCTATTCACTTTGGTGTGGGTATTGTGACCAGCTCCCTTATCGATACGTTTTTTAATGAAGTGAAAATTCTGATGGTGATTGACCTTGTCTCTCCTCATTATTGATTAAAATATCCACCACAGCTCCCAGGCAAATAACACGTTTTCATCCTTTGCTTAGACTCCTGGAATCTGATTCATTCTGAAACTCTGCAGATATCTTTTCGTTTTTATTGACTTGAGGAACTGAATGTATTAGTTAACATTAAATGCATTTCAGACCAGTTGCAATAGATTATCATAGGTGGGTTATGATTATGTTTAGGTATTACATGGTAACCGTTAACTGTTTTCATGTAGTTGCTTTTGAATTGTTAGGCATTCATGTGTGTGAGTGTGAAAGGGTAAATGTGAGTGATATTATGGCGTGTGAGTGTTTGCTTGATGGCAAACCCTAACCTTTGACACCCTCCAGGAGCCCATCTAGAGGAGATGCAGCAGATCCATGTCTTTCCTCAGTCCTGGCTGCTCCTCATCTTCTCCAAGCACTACTACACTGTGAGTTCATATAGACAGGCACGCCTAAGAGTATAAGAGGATCATTGGGCAAACATATTGTCTTTCTCCATCGTTCGCCCCCATCCCAGCTCCACAGTGGAGGAGACATGCAAGTAACAGATTTCTCACAACAAGCAGTGCGCTTTGGCATGGTCATTGAGAGGGTAAGCTTAACTCACTTAACTCTGTAACTACCTTACTTGGCAAAATGGCGCAAGGTGAAAATGAATCGGTTGTGTAAGTCATTGGCGCTATTGTCTTGGTGTCGTCCTACAGGAGCCTCAGTACTGCACGCAAACCATTGGACTTTATGGCTTCTACTTCCTGCTTAAAGCAGCCAGCATGGGAGAGCCGGACTCACATGGCTTCTCTCTGCAGGTCAGGGTGCATCAACACTGTGTCTGCATCTCAAATCGGGATATTTGCTCTCGAGTGCCTATGGCAAGGTTCAGAGGAGGCTGGTGGGAGGAGCTATAGGAGGACAGGCTCATGGTAAAGACTGGAATGGAATGAATGGAACGGTATCAAACACACCAAACATGGAAACCACATGTTTGACTCCGTTCCATAAATTCCATTCCAGCCATTACAATGAGCCCGTCCTCCTATAGCTCCTCTCACCAGCCTCCTCTCTCAAGGTTATAAGTAATAACCAGCAGATACATTACACCAAGTAAACATAGCATAGACTGCCGGATGAATGGCTGTGTACCTGTGTGTCCACTGCAGAGACTGAGACACTGGGACCCTGCCATGTCTGTGCAGGCGTGTGAAAGGCACCCTTTCAGTATGATGACAGAGCGGGCCGTGTCCTATCAGATCAACGTGCAGGCCCAAATGCACGGCCAGTGGCAGGAGTTCAACAGTGGTCCCATCAGCCAGGAGTTTGGCCTGAGCAAGCGCACCTGCAAGAGCCAGGTATGGAGGGAGGATGGCTTGATGCAGGAACAGGGAGGAGGGAGTTGGTGGCTGGGTGATTTCAGGACAGGAGATAGAGTCTAGTACTTTCATTCTATATGAGTACTGCAATGTCTTGATTTCTCACATTAGTTGGATACAAGTAAATTGCTATTTCTGTGGGGAAAATGTAGCTTAAACAAAGAAACTTCAAGAGGATTGACTCGAATACTAGCTAACAGGGCATTGTATCCCTATTTCTGTTGTAGTTAGAGGGTTCTACTAGCTGAGTGCTGAACTGCTGTAACTCTTCCCTCTGTGTGCAGGTGTTTAAAGTGAGGGGCCTCAGCTTGCCCATCTTCGTGACCTTCGCCCTGGCCTTCCCTGCAGTCTGATCCCCTGCCAGAGTGTCTCCATGGTACCACATGTAAACATCACACTTCCTATCTGATTAAAAGTATCCAGATGTATCCAGGAGGACTTGTCTTAGTGGGGTAGCCTTGATAGAAAAGAAGCTAGTCTCTGAAGTGGCTATCTGTTAGCCACGCAGCCTGTTTTAACCCAAGACAAACTCAACGCTCTGCCCGTTGACCAAAGCAGGTAAAAGAGCGGTCTGGGACGTTTACATCTTCCAGTGAGACAGGTCATGGTCTATCGAGGTAAAAGGGACACAATTATAGTAATATGATTCATGCACTTTCACATCACTTGGCAGTATGAGACTGTGTCCCAAATGGCACCCTATTCCCTATATAGTGCACTACATTTGACCTGAGTCCTATGGGTCCTGGTCAAAAGTAGTGCACTATAAAGGGAATAGGGTGCCACTTGGGATGTAGTCTGTGCCAGCTGTAATGTATTGTAACCACAAGGGGCGTTGCAAACCCTCTCCTGGAAGAGAGCTCTTTGAAGGCAGTTGTTGGCCTATAGGTTGTCTGGAGGCTTTATAACTGTTGCTCCTTGTGGTTCAGGTCCCTACTCAACCAGGAAGCAGAGTATTACGTTTCTCTGTGTCCGAAAAAACGCTGACTGTCAGTGGGTAACATTCTGACCAGTGGAAGTACTGTAGGGTCATGTACAGCTGAGAAAACACACATGTAGAGTTGCCCAGGAAAGCAGAGGTTTATTGGCAAACTCTTGAGTGAATGATAAACATGGTTCGTATTTATATACACCTGGCAGGAGCACATGCTGTGATTGGCTGTTCGTAAGATGTAAAGTTTTACACTGTCAGCAGGTCATTAGCAGGGCCTGCCAAGACTCCAAATCTCTCATTTCTGGAAGAGGCCTATTTTTAGTATGAGTGATGCCAGTTCAACTAAAATGCAACATGTACGTCTCAATTCCAAATGCGTGTTTGATTCATTTAGGAAACGTAAGCAGGAATGGCAAATTGCACCATTCATAAATTACTTATTGTTAAGCTGCCCACTGACCTAAACTTCTATATTGCTCAAAATAGAGTACATAACCTCAGGCCCTTCAGCTCGCCCGCTCAGGAAATACAGTATGTTGCATGCATGGCTATTGTTTTCAAGAGCACTCCAATTGAATGGCGAAAAGGGAGCATGGTTTCTCTGTAGTGGATGTTTGTTAACATGGGCAGACTGCCATGAAGGAAGCAAGAGTTCAATCCAGTAGCTCCTATCGTGGACCATCCCATCCCCATGCCCAGAACTGAGTAGTTGTTTCAGACCGGACCACTGCAGATTCAGAAGTGGTTGCTCTGCTGCTAAGGCTGTTCAAAAGGCTCTGGTAACCAACACCCCACATGAACAAATACGATAGTTTACTATGGTGTAAATACTGTAGTATTACTATATTGATATACTGTTGTATTCACTGTAGTGTTTTTGCGGACATGACTGTAGTATACCGTAGTATTTACTATAGTGTTTTTGTTTTATTATCTTTGACATAGAAATGGGGTCTTTCTCCTTGAGGAAACCTACTGGACAAATACTAATATAGCAAATGTTCCATAACCCGTAGGTATGTAGGCAGGTCTGGAGTCTGAACGGAGAGTTCAGCACTTCTGCTCTTTTCTATAACCTGTAGGAAACACAATATACAGTATGGTCTATATTTGGCATGTATGTTTCTCAATCATGGGTGGCACTAATTGGGGGTATGGGGGAGGGGAATGGGTGGGGTATATGCTAATTAAATACTGTAGTATTACTATAGTTAAAAAACGGTAGTGTTTTGGCAGAAACGGTAGTGGTTTGGCAGAAACTGTAGTGTTTTTGCAGACATTTCTGTAATATTTACTACAGTGGTTTTGTGGATAATACTGTAGTATTTACTATAGTATTCTACAGTATACTACAACATTCTATAGTAAGTACTACACATGATCAAGGGATGCTACAATGTGTAGTATACTATTCTACAGTATACTACAAAATTATATAGTAAGTACTACACATGATCAAGGGATACTACAGTGTGGAGTATATTATTCTACAACTTGCTATAGTAAGTACCACACATGATTGAGGAATACTATATTGTGGAGTATAGTGTTTTATAGTTTACTACAGAATTTGATAGAATTCTATAGTAAACACTAAACTCCTGTGAAACACCCATCATGTCAGGAATGGATGCTGTGCAAAATGTAACGACCACTTAGGTGAGCTAATTGCCGTAGAAAAACTGGTGTCTGCAGTTTTGTCCTCATATAACAAGGGACTGTCATGGACTGATTAAGCGATCGCTCAAAATCCAGATCTCTTCTTTTGAACCTATGATCTCCTTGTCACGAACGTTGAGAGACGGGTCGGACCAAGGTGCAGCGTGAAAAGCGTACATGTTTATTGACTAAATAAAAATTCAACCAAAACAAGGTAACGTGAAGTCCAACGGGCTATTCACATACCAGCCTAACAGGAACACGATCCCACAACTAAGGTAGGCAACCAGGCTACGTAAGTATGATCCCCAATCAGAGACAACGAGCGACAGCTGTCTCTGATTGGGAATCACACCCGGCCAAACATAGACACACAACCAAGAAATGCAACATAGAAATAGACTAACTAGAACGTAAACGTAGAATATATAACATAGAAACTCACGCCCTGACCCAACCAACTAAAGGCAACAGGCCTCTCACGGCCAGGGCGTGACACTCCTTTTTAGGATAGAGAGACTGGAAATGCACTGTAGTGGAAATGCAGTGCACAGCTCCCACAGTGAGTGTGAGTGGGTACGAAAGGGTTGTAGGTCACACTGTCTGCCCGTTTTAGCATGAATGTGCATTTTGCTCACATCATTAAACTCTCTTAAACTCAGGTCTTAACAAAGACCCTACTGTCTAAATGCGGAAAAGCTCTCCATCCAAGAGCAACTCGCTTCACATTAAGGATCAGTTGAGAGCTAGGAAGTCCCCCTATGAAATGTAAAATGGTAAACCAGATGTTGTTTCCTTGTTTTGCATTCATCCAGTCCCAGGTTGCACCCTAATTAATGACGATAGAGAGGTAGATATGGCACATATTTCCATCAACATATATGTCCTCAACTGTCAGGAACGTGTTGATCAGGAAATAACTGGGGTGCTCTGGCCAAGGATCAAAGCATTGGATCTCTTGCAGGCATCCTCTTTTACTGGGAGGCTATGTGAAAGAGTTTATTTAGAGGGGATATAAGAGCCTTTAATAGGTTTGAATTCTGCTGGCAAAGGACCTTAGTGGCTTTCCAGGTAACATAATATAATATAAGGGATCAGAATGGAGTAGAGTAGAATCGAAGTCAACAGAATAGAATTGAAGGCATCAGAATGTAGTAGAATAGAAGACAATATAATAGAATAGAATATACCAAATAGGCAAAAGTATGATAGGTTTGAATTAATCTGTGCCATTAGAAGTTTGAAATACAGCATATACTATATGCCATTCAACAGACACTTTTTATCCAAAGCGACTGTGGCCTCATAGAGGTTGGCCTGCTGCATACAAATATTAATACTACTCCTACCATAATTCTTTGCGGCACCCAAAAAAATAGTCATCGCTCTGCTCCACGCCCCCGCACTCCACCTAAGCAATGGGATATGTAGGAAATATCCGTGGAGAGATGGGCTGAAACTCCTTTCGGTTCATCCAAAAAGATCTCTCAAGCGGCCTATAGCATTCCAAAAGCACATAAATATGTAAGTATTCAGAAATGTTCTTTATTGTGCGATCATTCGATGTTGGGATACAATGTAGCTTCGTATGCCCATGTAGCGCGCGCGAGACACGATGAACGCAGGCTGAATGTAAATATTCACAGGCACTTTTCCAGTAGCAGACTTCAGTCGATCATACACAGTATCAAGAAGTGTATCAGTAGAATACATCTTTAGAATTAAAGTTACTTAATAAATTATCATGTTACTGTCGCACTCTTGGTGTTTATTGAATGATATAAATCGATGTGTTACTCATCAAATCAGGAAAGTATTATGGTTGTGTGGAATGCTGAACTATCCTCAGTCTGTTATTGTTACAAACTGCTACATGACAGTAGACTGACTATAAATCGTACAAATTCACAAACAACACGTTAATGCGCTGTAGACTAGGCTATTAAGGCTACTTTACTTACAGTATGATTTGTGTCAGCTTATCTGATATCAATACCAGCCAGCCATATCTCAATCTGTATCAATATGCCAGATTCTCCCCCTTTAAATGTCAATTGGTAGATTCGTTTCTCATAACAAGAGTTTGATTAAATGTCATGAGCTCCAGATGTTTCACTTGTGTAATAACATGGTTAGGCCTATTATAGCTAATATTATTATATTAAACATACAGGTAACTGCCAAAATAAAGGAAACACCAACATAACGTGTCTTAATAGGGCGTTGGGCCACCACTAGCCGCCAGAACAACTTCAATGGGCTTTGGCATAGATTCTACAAGTGACTGGAACTCTATTGGAGGCATGTGACACCATTCTTCCTCGAGAAATCCCATAGTTTGAGTGTTTTGTTGATGGTGGTGGAAAATGCTGTCTCAGGCGCCACCAGAATCTCCAATAAGTGTTCAATTGGGTCGAGATCTGGTTACTGACACACACACACCTTTAAACCCCCTATGCTCCTTTGAGACCCCTCTTTCAAAGTCACTGAGATCTCTTCTTCTAGCCATGGTAGCCAAAATAATGGGCAACTGGGCAATTTTATACATTATTATTATTATTATTATTATGTATTATTTGTATTATTTGTATTACTTTTATTTATACAGGGTGGGTCACCATTGAGACCACGGTCTCATTAACAAGGGAGCCCTGTGAACATGACCCTTAACATGATGGGATGTTAATTGCTTGATTAACTCAGGAACCACACCTGTGTGGAAGCACCTGCTTTCAATATACATGGTATCCCTCATTTACT